TACTGATCTGGAAATTATTTATGGAAGTCTTTATGATTTATGGAATCAGAATTATATCGTTGCAGGTAGTGCAGAAAATCCAAAATATTATACTAGGGTGGCCCTTGGTGCTTATGCAAATCCTATGCTGTAAGTACAGTATTATTTCAAAATTGTGATTATATATATCATTAATTTATTTTAACGTTTTTAATTTCATATGCGAATAGTTACGTTCACGAGACATTTAGATGTATTCTTGTTCTTGATGAAACAAAATTAGAGACAGCCGATCCTCCACTTTTAAATCGATTCGAAAAGCAAAAGATGACAATTAAAGATACCTTGACTACATTTGAATCTCAAATAGTTGAACAATTACTAACTTGGGTAGAGCAAATGTCAAAGATTTTTGGAACACAAGACAATCAATCCAAATTAAACGAAGAATTTAAACAAAAAGATTTGTTTATTGGATTTAATCCAGATGAAACTGTTCAAAGCTTGGTTATTGATACTAAGAAAAATTATCTAAATAGCGATGATCAAGATATCTTGGAGAAATGCAAAGAAAAGTTAGTGGCTATTGCTTCAAGTGATGGCATCATAAGAGCTGAAAAATCAGAATTAGACGACAAAGAAAAAGAATATTGGAAAAAAGTCTATTTTGAACAACAAAATCATGATAGCATTGCTGATTATATTAAAGCTTCATTGAACAAATCCAAGAACCCACGTGGACTTCAAATCATCATAAACACATTTTCTAATATAAATACTGATGTTAAAACATGTTTATATGGAATTGTAAAATGTCAAGTTGATAAATTGTCGACTTTTAAAACTGAATCTCAACTTCAAAATAGGGTAAAAGAATTCTGGTTAGAGTCCAGTGATGAAATGCTTATTCTTCAATGTGATGTCACTGTTGTAAATGCTGGGTGTATCAAATTAGCAAAATTCTTAATCGAACAATTTAAAAATGAATATTTGATGAAACGAGAGAAAAGACCTGATAATACTTGGAATACTAAGCACGCATGCATTATTTTGCATATTCATAGAGAACAAAAAAATTCTTCGGCATCATTTAATTTTATGTGCGGATGGGATCAAGTTACCATCGAAACTCTTGCGGAACAAGAAAAATCGCTCTCGGAACTTATGGATAAAAGTATTGAGGACGTCATAAATACTACTTATTTGTTTGAAAGTATTTTGAAGCAAGAATTGCTATGGTGTTTATTGTGTATGAAATATCCATCAAATATGAGATCTATTGATCATATCAAGTAAGTTTTATACTTTAATTGTTCCTGATAAATTTAGGCAAACTCTTGATTGTATACTAACCAAATGTTTAAATCTTTACAATTTTTATTTAGAATTTTGAGTGCAAATATATATAAATATCCGAAGCTGTTGGAATGTATGAAAACATACACGAGATCATGGTTACAAGAAAAGGCTTCGGAAAATTGGCAATATGAAGTGGCATCTAACAAGAAACTGCTATATATTTATCCATCTTTATCAGTGGCATTACTAACACACATCAGAGGACTTGTCAGGATACCAATTGCAAAGATTCTTTGCGCACTTGAACAACATGCAGCAATTAGAACCTTTTTTGCTATTGATAACCCTAATATTGATGCTGTAGATGATGATAATTTCCTTCTTGACTTTTGGTTCGGAATGCTCAATAATAAAGAAGTTATTGATCTTGAAAAAATTCCAGAACCATCACCAGATTTTTATAGCATGCCCCCAGGAATTTATGATTTGAAATTTCCATTTTCATATTATTTTATGAAACAAATTGACAATTTCAAACCACTCTACCAAGAAGAAATTAGTATATTATCACGAGATCCTCAAAAAATCGATAATACAACTGGAGAACTTGACGAAGATGCGATTGAAGATTATCTTGTAGAATTAACTGAAAAAATTCGTTCAATCAACCCGTTATTAGAGACTGCACCTATAAATAGAGCACCAGAATTATATTTCAAAGATTTTGTTTCAGTTATTGCTTATAGTGAGCCTGGTAACGAAGATCCTGAACAATTAGAATTAATATTTAAACGAAGGCTTGGAGAAACAAAAGTATTGGATACTATTGCACTGCACGCATATTGGTGGTCTCATGGAAATTCTATTATAGCAGAATCACAAATAATTAAAATATGTCCACAATTACAAGACACTACAATTAATGATATATCGGAAATCATCGAAAATGCTGTAACAATAATGTTGGATAGAATAAAAAGTGGAGATGTTGAACGATGGAAATACGACGCCAATAAAATTATTATGCTTGGTAAAAAGATTTCCGCTGATCCAACATCTCTTCAAACGTTACAATTTTATAATGATTTGCTTAGCATTGGTTCGATTAAGAAAAAAGACATTCTTGAAATTATTTCTCTTGGGCAAAGTTCAAATCAAATAATCACTATTGAAATGTTGGATGCTGTTTTTAAAATTTTAAATAATCTTCCCAATACGGAAAGAAACATATCTAAGAGAGCCATAATGCTAAGTTCTCTTGATATAATTCCAGTAGAATCTGATGTAAGGATAAAACTCTATAAACAGTTGTTTTCCGGTGAAACAATGCCATTAATGAGCATAATCATTAAGAGAATTTTTGAAATAGAGGAAGAACGTTGTAAAGATGTGTTTTACAAGCTTATTCAAAATCCAACAAATATTTTACAAACATCTCATAGATTATATGTGATAGATAAATCTATAACAGATCTCACTTCTGATATCGCAACTTTATGCTGTGACATTATCCAGCATGAATATTTTTACAAAGCAAATTTAGCCACATTGGCTCCATATCTTCAATCAGCTTTAAATGCAATGAGTAATGGAGTACAATCGTTAAGACAAATTACAGCGATAGCATTCTTAAAAGAATTTGTTAGGATGTTTTGGGATATAGTTTTTCAAGATAAAGATCAATCCGTTAAGCATCAACTCATGAAAATTGAACGAATTGAACAACAAGAACTTTTGGACGATCTTGTCCATTTCATGGAAATGCCACAACCATTGATTCATTCATTAAAAATATTCTTTCTTAGAGATTTGAGACAACGTGGGCTATCATTTGATGATGTGAAAAGATTTTGTAGAACAAAATCTAATGAATTACCCTGGCACAATCATTTTTCATGGGAAACAAATGACTCATCTCGATTACCATTCAATCCATATTGGCATTTACGCAAAAACATTGAAGCTGAAAATGTATACAATCGATTATATCAATCCTCAGACAATCAACAAATGCAAAGATTTCTCGAATCGATTCAGCAAAATAATGACGT